TGTTCTCCAGTTCTCCATTCTGTAGTCTCCACAGCACATTACAGGTTGTGTCTCCACCAATCCCAAAGTTCAGAGCATGGAGAGGTGAAAACAGTTCCCTCCACACCTGAGACCAGCACCAATAAGAATTGTAAACCAACTGTAACTAATGTAAACTAAATATATTTATATAAAAGCATATTAAATGCTGATTATTATTAATAATAACCTACAACAGACACAAAACATTTCAGGTGCACATTTACCAAAGTGTAAGTAAAAAGAGTCATGTCTTTTTCATTTTGGAATGATAAAACTTGCTTTAAGTGCCTTTACTGCAATACTATATATTCCATTTACATTATTTAAAAGTATTTGACCACTGAATGCCATGAAAGACAGATAAGAATAAAGCATTCCTGAGAGCTGGATAATAAGTAATTCAAATGAAATAAAAATCGAAATTATTAGGGCAAAGTTTTGTTGTTAGTATTATGTAAAAGTTAATATATTGGCTATAAAAATACATGTACAATACTTTTCATATGTTTACAATAGTTTCATATGATAAACTACATTTATAATTAATTCTGAATATTAAAACATTATGCTTCAGCATGCAAACCACTGACTGCCAGTTTTTATTAGTTCACGTGTTGAGCGCATTTCAACATTTTGCACACACACTGCTCTACTGCTTTTGTATTTATGGAAGCTTAGTATGGGAGCACCAATCGTTGGTTTCTCCTTTGAATTCACTGCTTCTGTTAAGAATTATTCTCCTATGTATTTGGATAAAAGTGTCTTCTTACGGAATAAATGGAATTGTAGTCAAATGTTATGGACGCACATGGCTCTCCTTACATGGACTAACTCATTAACGAGATAACAATCACCTCATTCTGCTGCATTAGCTGCACCATTGAGTCCCCCACAAGCAGAACATCAGGCTCGGCATCCTTGCACTCCTGCACAAACCGGTTATGCTGCAAAATATAGGACAAATCCAAGCATGTTACACTAATCCTTAAAAATAGGAATAGGAAATAAATAGAATAAAATAGGAAAAGATTTGCACAACTCTGAGCTGTCTGAATCACATGCTTATACAGTCTTCCTCAATTGTGCCCACCTGTGACATCCAGCGTCCGTCTCCCTGCACGTCGACGACAGACGCAGGTGCAGCAGCGGGATTCTCCTCAGCGCTCATTCTGAGTCTACAAGACAAACACAACACTACTATTGAGCGGACGTATTGACGTAATTGAAATGAACAGCAATGGTTGATTAACTCAGACTGTAGTGAGTGGAAATTTAGTAATTCAACTGTCAATAGCAAAATATAATTCATTGAAAGGGCGCACATATCATTCCGGATACATAAACGCTAGTTACGCCGCATAAAGAGCGCCTGTGTTTTGCTTTTAGTATTGTGAGGAGGAGGAGGCTGATGATGATGGACCCCGTATGAAGCCAACACAGAGCAGAGGCTTTGCAGTAAAGATTAACGCTTCATAATGTTCTTTAATGACTGCTATTCTCAGGGACGGTCACAGTACTGTTTATCTGATGGCATAACGAAGAATGAATCAACAGCCGGGACAAAAGAAAACCACATTCCCGCACATCACATCCATCTCTACGCACGTTTCCTTTTGACGAACCTGGCTACAGTGTTTGCAAATCCCGTCTGCAGTGAGTGAGCTGCTGGTGTGCAGCAGAGCAGGGCAGGGCTCCCTCAGTCACGTACAGCAGCACCACAGTCGACTGACGGACTGACTGTCCGGTGGAAGATGCAGATGAGCGTTTCTGCTGCCGCGCACCTCGACTTTGCTTTTTCTAGCTCTCCCTTAAAAAGCAATGCAACCTTAGCCGACTCAGGCTACACAGTAACAATAACGTTGGACGTTTCAATTATGAGGGTATATAGCGCGAGGTCTTTTCAAGAAATCACAGTAAATGTTTGGGTTATGTAAACCGAATAGCATCCAGCCAACCACCTCCCCACTTCCCTGCGCAACCGCCCTCGCACTTTCTGGAAGCCTCACTTCCGCCTCCAGCCATCGTCACGCACTTCCCATTCAGCGCCGTCCCGCCTCGTGAAGGCGAAGCAGGCTAGATCTGTGATTGGAATAACTGTTATAATCGAAGCGGTATCACAGGAGAGAGTGTCCTGCTTATATTTCCTTCAGCTTGTTTAAAACAGTTCGATATACAATAACTTAATAGTGCTAACTAACCCTATTAAGCTGTATCATATTTGATATGTGGATTTCTAAGACCTTTTAATTATGAATATAATAAAATGAATATAATTAAAACGTACACAATACATGCCTGCAGTCTGACTGATCATTCAGTTCATACTTTTAGTAGAAGTTCTTCTAGCCTAGTTTAAAAAATGACCACCTTGAGGACATGGAACATGTATATTTTTGCTGTTATTATTTGTACAAAATAAACGTAGAAAAAAACATTAATATTGTTAATATTTCAACATTTACTGGACTGAAGCAACATATGGCTTACCTGATTATCCATACATTATTTATTTAAACAAAGATAATGAAAAACAGACTGCAATACAGAGCTTTGATAAAATTAAGCATTCATAAAATTAAGCATTTTTGTTATAATTGTTTGGATGTTCTTACAAAATTAGTACATCAATATGCACGAGAACAGGACAGATCCATTTACAATATTTCTAGCTATGAGATGAAAAGGGTTATGTGCCTAAATGTGACCCTGGACCACAAAACCAGTCATAAGGGTCGATTTTTTTTTAATTAAGATTCAATTAAGAGAACATCACCTTTAAAGTTGTCCAAATGAAGCTCTAGCGATGCATATTTCTAATCAAAAATTAATTTTTGATATATTTATGGTAGGAACTTTACAAAATATCTCCATAATTAAGATTCAATTAAGAGAACATCGCCTTTAAAGTTGTCCAAATTAAGTTCTAGCAATGCATATTTCTAATCAAAAATTAATTTTTGATATATTTATGGTAGGAACTTTACAAAATATCTCCATGGAACATGATCTTTACTTAATATCCCAATGATTTAAAGAAAAATCGATAACTTTGGCCTATACAATGCATTGTTGGCTATTGCTACAAATATACTGTGCTACTTATGATTTGTTTTGTGGTCCAGAGTCACCAATTTTTTTTTTTTTTTATTGCTTCAAACAAGATTAACAAAATATTTTAACATATAAATACAACACAACCTATTCACATTATTACAATCATACAACATACATGAACAAACAAAAGAAAACATTATAAAATAAAATAAAAAATCAAACAGATATTTCTTCCTTTTCCCTAGAGACACATTTAGCATACAATTGAGTTGAAAAGCATAGCGGGGACATTATTTTTCAAAGAATTCTCCATAAAATTTAACAAAATTTCATTATTTTTGTTATTAATTAACACTAATACAACACAACCTATTCACATTATTACAATCATACAACTTACATGAACAAACAAAAGAAAACATTATAAAATCAAATAAAAAAATCAAACAGATATTTCTTCCTTTCCCCTAGAGACACATCTAGCATACAATTGAGTTGAAAAGCATAGCGGGGACATTATTTTTCAAAGAATTCTCCATAAAATTTAACAAAATTTCATTATTTTTGTTATTAATTAACACTAAGGACTTTTTTAGCAACTCCATTTCTTTTAAGAATACTTCACATTTAGGTATACAATTCGCAAATTTTTGTTTATGAATATAATATTTACCATGCAAAATGTAAAAGTTTACAACATATTTAAACATTTTGCTTTTGTGTGTGTAAGAACATATAACATCTTTTAAAGATAATTTATAATTAACATTTCTTGGGGCAAATAGAAAAAAGCTAACACCAGACCAAAATGTCAAAGATAAATCACAGCTGTAAAACAAATGACCCAAGTCTTCCTCGTGTACATTACAAAAACTGCATTTGTTTTCAATATCCATGAATTTTGATAAGAAAGCTTTACATGGGTAGATTTTGTGGAGTATTTTAAAGTGTACCTCTTTAACTTTATTCAACATGCAAAATTTATATGGATTTAACCATGCCTCTTTCCAATGAATATCAGAAATCTGCACATTCCAAAAAAATTCCCCTCTTGGAGAGATTTTATGATTGGATTGAAAGATTAATCTAATATTTTTATTATTACAGGAATGAGAAAATAGTTTAATACCATCAACTATTAACTCAGGAAGTTTCCTTTCGTGACTTCCAAAAATGAGGTGACTTTTCATTAAGTGTATTAATCCGTTTGGAATGGCTTTTACAACTTTCTGAAACTCTTTAAATGGAATGGGGAAATTATAGAAAGACATAAATTCTTCCTAAGACAACAAGTTTCCACTTTTATCAAACATATCCATAACAAAGTATATATTTTTTTCAAACCAATTACACAAAAATAAAGACTTATTCCTAGAGGTAATGAGACAATTGTTCCAAAGAAGCATTTTGTGAGGAGAGAAATTATGATGAAAACTAATTTTCCAAGCCAATAACGCTTGCTGATAAAATGATTAAAGTTGAATTGGTAATTTCCCAGGCAGATAGTTACATCTTAATAGAAAAGATAAGCCTCCAAGCTTTTTGAAGATGAACTGCGGAATAAAGAACCATATTGAGTTTTCATTTCTTTGACAATTTCTTAACCAGTTTAATTTAAAAGTATTGTTAATATACAAAAAATCTAACATCTCTAACCCACCATCAGCTCTTTTGCCTGATAAAATGTCCTTTTTTTAATTTGTAAGGTTTATTTTTCCGAATAAAATCCAGGAAAGTTTTATTAATTTCTTTGGCAATTTCATCCCTGTCATGGAGGGAGAGAGCTGGATAAACAAATCTGGAAAGGCCCTCAGCTTTGGAAAGCAAAACTCTCCCAAAAATAGAAAGATCCCTTTGTAACCAATTATTCGTTATATTTTTATTTTATTTTTTATTTTAGGCATAAAATTCAATTGTTCACAAGTATGCTTGTTTTTGGAAATGTAAATGCCAAGGTATTTAACACAGTCCTTTACTGGTATGTTTTCAACAAACTGATCTGTAGAATGGTGTACCAGAGTCACCAATAGTTTCAGGAACATTTTATTAATGACGTCACTTGAACCTGGAGGCTGCGGCTGCAATTTTTCAATATTCCACAAGATGGCAGCAGAGTAAAAAACTAATAAAAGTCACAATGACATTGGTGTGCTTTCTGTGATTACACATTTTAAGTAGCCTACAAGTAGAGCTAGACAAAATATTTTTGTTTTAGTCTCGTTTAAGAATAACCGACAACTTTATGTAACAGTTGTTATAGCGGGAGAGAAAAACAAATGAAACGAACATCCAAATTCCTGTAGGAAACGAAACGTTCTTGCTACACTGCTTATGAGAAACATGCAGTGGCATGCACTGGATACATAAAAGAGAGCAGTTATCTTGTGGGAAACTGATGTGCAGGTTGACCTTGTCCCGACTCCTTTTAAAACTCCTCCTCTTTCCACTCACGGTGAAGACAAACTGTGTGAGTGGTTTAGCATTGCCGCTGTCCACAGGAGTGCCGAAGTATAACTAATATTCAGATATTGAGTATAAATACCGTAAGCCTAGGCTATAGGTAGGCCTACTACTGAGTAGAGAGATCTAGTGAAACAGATTTAATGGTTGGAACGGCTGCAGTCTCAGTGTAAGCAGAGTTAAACACACTGATCACAGCAGGACCCATGAAAGCTTTAACTTAATGCGTAATAATTAGTTCAGGGTAGTTAGTGCAGAACATCTCAGTGCAGCAATAGTCCCATGTGACTGAATAATGCTGTATGAGCTGATCAATCATTGCCAACATGTGATACTGTAAAAAAAACGTTTTGATGGTTCAGATTGTTGTGGCTAATTGTTAGCTGGAAGGACTGGCTGCTTAAAACCCTTAAGATTGCACTGAATATTTTATATATCAGTAGTGTGTAAAGGTTGGGATTTAACATGACTGTCAAAATATGGCGCGTGTACGATAGAGAATGTAATATTTAGATACAGGTATTGTCATCTCTGTTTTTACATTTCAATATGCAGTATTAATAAAAGAAAATGATTTAATGGTTATGTGACTTTCATGTGAGAGGTTTTAGTTGGTAACATCTGATTGTACCGATCTGATCATGGTTTGTAAATTAGATTAGGTCTGATAAGAGAGTTATGACATGAACATGTCTACGACAAGTATCTATATATCTGTCATGAAGTTTGTGGTAACATTATGGTTTTCTCTTTCAATGTTTGCTTCAAAGCCATAGAATGTACATTTTTAGTGCCGGGTTTAGGGTGAGGGAATGTAAATGTTGTTGGAATGAGCTGTTTGTGTCACCTATATACTTCTCTTAGTAACATGTTAATCCATGGTTATCAGGTGTACATCATGTGGAGGGAATTGAGTTGCTTACGTCCTCAGAGTTGGAGGCAGTCAATGGGACAGATGTAAGGCTCAAATGTACATTTAAATCTACACATTCTCTCTCCGAAGAAAGAGTCTCTGTATCCTGGAGCTTCCGACCACTCGGAAAGACGACAGAAGAATCGGTGAGACTGAATGGGTGTGGAGTTAATGTGTCTGAAGATCTTTATTTACTACTGGCTGAAATGAGGCTGAGTACAGAAAATGCCCTCTTAAAAAGCTGTTCAAAAATCTACAATACAATTTTCCTTCTGACCCTTTCTCTCTATTATTCCTTTCTTTCAAAAAAACAATTCCAACCTCATTTCAGTGGGTCATAGTCCTTCCTTCCTATTTAACTTTCCAATTTAACAACCTTTCTCTCTCTTTCTTTTATTCTGTCATAGATTTTTCACTACCAAAATAGTGCATTTCCCCCGAAAACAGGCATGTTTAAGGGTCATGCTGTATGGTCTGGTGATATAATGAAGGGTGATGCATCCATCACGCTGCAGAATGTGCAGCTCAGATTTAATGGTACCTACAGCTGCCAAGTCAAAAATCCACCCGACATCCAGGGATTTGTAGGCGAGATCAGCCTCAGAGTCATTGAAAAAGGTAAGAGCAGATGCTGTGCCGCTTAAAATCATTTACTCACCCTTCCAAACCTGTGTGGCAGTGAAGGTGAAGGTAGTATGAGCAGGATATTGTGTTCTTTATTTGATCCCAGCAGCTGAAGGACAGTAGTATCTAATCAACCGGGCTAGAGTAGCAGACAGTCTTCTCTGAGAGTGTTATGGTACAGACAACAAGAGTGAGCGATATTCAGTTTACTGGTCAATCTCTGATAAAGTTTCACATTCTGTTATTTGAACAGATTTCCTTCTTTATTTCGGTTTAATGTACTTAATGGGCAGAGCTGGGTAGATTACTTGAAAATTGTACTCCGTTACTGATTCCAAATGACAGAATTTGTAGTTAGTAATGTAATCCATTACATTACACATTTTAGGTAATATAATCGGACTTCTTTTTGATTCCTTTTAGATCACTTTTGACCTGACTTGTTAATCACATTGATTTAAATGGGATAATCTTGTACCATATTGATATAAAAATACAAAGGGAAAGAAAAAAAAGAAGTATAAATAAATAAAACCTCACTACACGTACTGCTTTAGGCTAACCAAGCCTTGTCATAGCACTTGCATATTATTGCTCTTTTGTTGGCTTTGGTTGCTTCTATTGTCCTCAATTGTAAGTCACTTTGGATAAAAGCGTCCGCTAAATGTAATGTAAATGTAAAATATATTCTATTCATTGTTATTAACAACATGAAATGCATTAAACATTACCTTATGTTAAGGTTTCACAAACTGGGGTTCATGAGAGACATGAGTTTAATGAAAAGCTAATAATTAATTAGAAAGGAAGACTTAAAAGATGGAAAAAAAGAATTGGGGAGTATCAATAAATGATGAATAATTTATTGATATTGTGTGAATAATATACATTTACATTTACATTTACATTTAGTCATTTAGCAGACGCTTTTATCCAAAGCGACTTACAATTGGGGGAT